GCGTTCTTTTTTTTTTTTTTTTTAGTTTTTATTTGTTGCGCAGATTTCCAAATTCCGGGAAAATTCAAAACTACGAGAAATTGCAAATTAAATTTTGACATTAACGGGCTTAAAAAGTGGGATCAACAGGGTTCGAATGGGGGTATTATGTATCTCATATCGTATTATCAATTCATCAATTCATGAATCAAAAGTATACTGCTTCACCAAGACACATTCACCTCCTCTTGGTGGGATTGTGTGTACATAGAGTGAGCCATCAGTACTACCGACAAGTACATTCTTCCCATTGAACCCTACAACGCTTTTGATCTTGTGTGGATTTGGTGTCCTTAGATATGCAAAATCACGTTGAGGTTCAAGAATTGATGAAATGTTTTTAGGTAAATTTTGATATATTCTATCGGCAATTGATGGTTGACGTTTTGGTTCTATTTTGGAATTGGAATTTATAGCTTTTGGAATGATACGTTCTTCTAGCTCATCTAAATTATCATCTGATTGATTATTATTATTATTACCATCGTCATTATTAGTTCCTGTGGAATTACCAACCCCTTCATCAATCAATTCACCACTACTGAAAAGATCATTACCACTACCACTCCCACTAAGATCATTATCTGATTGTAATTTGAAAATATGAACAGTTTCTGTATCAGATGTAGCAGCTATTAAAGTTGAGCTTAAATTAAATGTTAATTTATGTATCAATGCAGAATATGAACCTCTTCTAAATTCATGAACTTTATTACCACTTATAGTATTGAAAATTCTAATGATTGTACCTTTATTAGATGCTGTTGCAAATAATGTTCCGTTATTGTTTAATGAAATTGAAGCCAATTGAGTCTTATGCGCCTTAATGATGTTTAAAGGAGCAATATTTAATGCATCAAAAAGTACCACAGTACCAACTTCATGTGTACTATCAGTTGATGACCTTTTACTATTCCCACCATTATTATTACTATTATTACTGTTATTATTATTATTAAGAGTATGATCATTAACGCTAAAAGGTGATGCAACATTTGGTCCTGGTGCTGGATAAATTAAGATAGAATCATCACTTGAACTTAAATCACAAAGTGCATTTTCATTTGGTGAAGTTTCAATTGTATGTAATAATTTCATACAACTTATATCATAAATATAAATTTGATCAACCAATACCACAACAAGTCTTTTCCTATTCAATTTGATGGATAGCACAGCAGTAGGGAATGTTAACTCACAAATATTCGTCTTTTTCTTGGTGTTTAATATTCTTAATCTTCTTGGTGATGTAGTTGGTTTATTACCAACACCCACAATTGCCACAAGGGAAGTTGAAAATAGCATTTCTGCAACATTAGCTCCAGAATCTAATCACAATTGTTAGTGAATCATTGCTGATTAATATGTATTGATAGTTCTTACTCACCTAACTCAAAACATTCTCCAAAAGGGTCCACATTAAATATTTTGAAATCATTCTCTGTACCAACTGATATACAAGAGAAATCCTGATTAAAATTGATACATTTGTATTCTGATTGAGTCATTGTATAAAAATTGACTAGTTTTAAACTTTGAATGAATATGATAGATTAATGATTGGAATTGAAAATTTTGAAAGGTTTATAAACAGAGTCAATCTAGTTTATCAGTGAATTCTATTGTTTAAGCACGAGTTTAGCATTGTATTTTCCCAAAATATTTATTTTTCTCGCGCTTTACAAGAAAAGGGTCAAATTTGGTGTAATATTACAAAAAAAGAAGTGGGAAGCATTGAACTGTTTTGGATTTTTAACGAATATTATACCATTAGTTTAGTAGTTCCCATCTTATTCTCTACATCTCATTCCCTTTTGGTTAAATAAATTACTTATACACAAGTTTTGGCATACAATCATTAATCACTTTCTTTCAAAAGCGTAAAAAGATCAAACAATCTCATATAAATATAGAATAAAGACGACCTTTCCCTCGTTCTTAATCTCTTCTTCTGGATTGTTCATTCATGATTTCAAATCTAGCTCTGGCAATGGCTCTTAATTCTTGCATGTTTTGTGGATTATGATCTTTTAAATATTCTAAAGTGGAATCATCAGATCTAATAACAGAACCAACACTCATAAATAACCCAAAAGTAGCAGCTGAACCACCAATATATTGACCTAATGTTCTCATGACACCGTTTGGACCAGCACCATTTGTTATGATTGAAAACCCACCGAATAAAACACCGACAACAACACCAACGGTAGTACCCATCATGGCACCCATTTTAAATTTTTCAAAATTGGATGGTTGTTGACCGTATTGAACTTGTTGAACTGGAGGCATTGTGATATGTAATTCTGTTGAACTGAAGTTGATTAAATTACTGAATCAATTGATCTTTGTTCAAATTAGCTCCTGGCTATAAAATCTTCGATGATCCTTCTATTTAACAATTCCTTGAAAAAAAAAAAAAACTGCACCAATAAAAATTAAACTTTTGTATATGGAAATTCGCGGAATTTTGTATACATAATCAGTAAAACATCTTTAAATCAACTTAAAACGTTAAATATCAATTCATAATTCATAAAACAAAACTTATATAAGTATATATAAAGTGGGATCTGATCAACTTGTCCCGAAAATTGTATACCAAAATGGATTTAACCAAACACCTTGGAATTCACCTTCTTTAATGGCTTTAGCATCAACAAGCCATTCCAATATTTTAATTAATTCTTCTTTGTTTAATACTAATGATAATTTTTCTAATAAATCAAATTTAGTTATACCAGGTTTCCCCAAGATTGTAATTAGAACAAGTCTATTGATTTTATTCCATACATTTTTATTAATTTTACCCTCAACATCAATCCAAATATATGAACATGGTTTCCCCATCGGAACTAATGGTGATTCATTGGAAACATTTTGAATTTTTTCAGATCCAGGTGCTAAAATTATATCACAATCTAATTTTTCTCTTTCTATAACCCTTGCTTCATATCCTTCTAATACTTCTTTCCTATAATGATCCACTCTAAGAATATCTAATTGATTTCTTGATAATAATTCAATTATTGGAACCATATATGCATTATCAAAAATTGGATTTAAAACAAATGCCTTTTTAGCTTCAAATACTTCATTTAATAAATTTTGAATTTGATTAACTTTTGTTATTGAAAAATCATAAGTATTGCTATTCAAAATATTATTTAATGTTTCACCTATTGAAACTTTTGTATCTAAATTAATTGAAATTTCCTTTTTCCTAGTCATTTCCATGAAAACTTCATCAACTAATTGCTTATCAAATGATTCTAATAAAGGTAATTTTCTAATATTAGTATTTGTACCACTTAATATAATTGCAATTATAGTCTTTCTAATAATGGATCTATTATTAACATTATCTTCTTCAAATCCATCATCATTATTAACAACGTGATCAACAGCTTGAGCAAAATCTTTCTCATCATTATTTTCATAAGTAAAAGATCTACTAACAAGATATTGTTCTCTTTGAACCATTGAATTAGGATCATAAAGATATGAATTTGTTGAAATTGATGATTTAACAAAATTATAATGAGAAATATTATCTTCATAATTTGCAAAAAGACTATCTGATAAATCATCTGATAAACCTAAAATTTCAGAATCTTGCCAAATTTTAACCAAATTTTCTAAATTTAAATTTTCAACTTCTTCTAAACTAATTCTACCTTCTTTTACAGCTGATAGTAAAATCCTTTTCCATGTACGTCTTGCAACTTTACCACCATTTTGACCCATCATCATTCTAATTCTTGGCCATTTTTTTTTCAAAATTTCTTCAGGTATACCATTAAATAATTTTGTAATTTTTTCCCAATCAATAATGTTTTTAGTAATTGTTTTACAAATAATAACAGCTTTGAAAAGTAACATTGTATCCGCACTATTAAGATTTGAAGTATTTCTTTTGTTTCTATAAGATTGACCTCTTTGTTCTTTTGGTTTTGGTGTATCCCATTCTGTAGTTTTCTTTTCTTTTCTAACTCTTGGAGCTTTGGCAACAATTGGTTTAGATTTGACAGCTTGTTTCTTTGGAGTTGATTTTTTCTTTGGTTTTGGAGCTGCTTTGGTAGATTTACGGGTTAAACCAGTGTTTGGAGCTTGAAATTGTGCTTGAACTGGAGCTTGAATTGGAGCTGAAGTTGGAAATGGGAATGATGATGATTCATCAACATAGGTTAATGTATTAGAAGTTTGAGCCTCTCTATATGCTTTTTCAATAGCTTTAGCATGATCATTAATATCATTATCATTATTTTCATTAACTTCATTCTTTTCCTCTTCATTTTGTGCAAGCTCTTTTACCCTTTGAGCTCTTCTTTCCATAGCTCTCATTCTCTTTGTTGGTGGTAATTCAGTTTCAAATGATTTCTTAAAATCATCATCATAAAATTCAAGATCAATATTTTCAAGAGTGCTTTTTTTAGCTAAAGGTTTACCAGATGATTTTAGATTTTCCTTCATTATGTGTTCAGCTTTGTTAAGATCTTCATTAGTTGTACCTTTTAAAATAATAACACTATGATTTTGTTGTTCTCTACCAATGAAAAATTCACCAATATAAATCTTATTTTGTTCAATTAAAGAATTTACATCTTTTTTAAAAGTTTTCCTATCAATTTGTTGATTAGCTTCTTTATTAACAGCTTCAGAAAAAATAATAGAATTTTCCATAACACCATTATTATCTTTAAGAACTTTCATAATAGTATTCATACGTTCAAGCGCCTTGAAAGAAGTTACTTTTAAATCAGAAACAGTAATAAGTTTTTCTTTGGAATGTTTAAATTTACCAGCTTCATTAAACTTTGTTTTGCGTTTATCTTTTGAACTTGATTTTTCTGTTGTTGTTGGCGTATCTGATGTTGAAGGCTCAGGATTTTCCGTTGTGGTAGTGGAATCTGCAACTGGTATATCTGTTGGATTAGCCAATTGAGGGTCAATAGAACTAGATATATCATCTTGAGTTTCAGGTTGTGGTTCTTTTTCAGGTTCTTGATCTTGATGTGGGATTGAAGTTCTAGTTGATGAAATTTGTGGAGTAATAGAAGGTTCACCAATGAATGGAATTTCATCAATATTTGAAGTTTGAGATTCTATATTTGAAACTTTAAGTTGTTTATTTTTATTAGAATCTTCTTCGCCTTTTCTAGGGCGACCTCTTTTCTTTTTGGTATTATCATTAGCATCTTTCTTTGTAGTTTTTTTCTTCTTTGATTTAGATGGAGTTGAACCTTCAATAACTTGACTACCAAACCATTGTAAATATTTATGACCATCTAAAGTTGTAACAACAGAAACACCACTATTTAAAGTTGTAAAATGTTTCTTATTAAGTTCTTTTAATGAAGTATTTGTTGGTTCATATGTTAATAAAGTTGAACCATTTAAATCTTGATCTTGACCTGAAAATTTCAAAAAATTTGGTCTTGTTAAATATCTATAGAATTTAACTTTACCTTGGAAATCATAATGTCTAACAATAGAATGATTTGCAATATTTGGAATTAAATTTTCCGGGGTATAACATTCCATTACTTTTGTAAATAAACGATCATAAGATCTACCCAAGACAGTATCCAAGAGATCATTTGTTGATAAACCAGAAGTTCCACTATTATTAACAAGTTGAAAAATTTGATTTTGTAAAGGGAAAATTCTATTGAAAATTGTATAATTTTTAGAATTTTTTGAAGATGTAATTTCAATATTTTCAACATTTGTTAAAGAAGTTGGAGCTTCATTTTCTAAATCTTTTAAATTATCATCTATTAAATCTTCATTTAATTCTTGTTCTTCGTCATCATCATCTGGGATATCGTCATCATCATCTAGATCATCATTATCATTCTGATCCCTTTGATTCTTTGGGATATAATCTTTCAAATATTTCAAAGCCAAAAACTGTCTTTTTGGTGGTTTAGGAGAAACAACAAAGACTTTTTCCAAAAATTGTTTTTCTTCTAAATAAGTTGTTATTGATTTAAAATTTCTTGAAAGTTTTGAAGATTTATCCATTTCTAATTCTCTTTTCAAATCAGCAGTTTGACGAATATTATGTTTAGCATTTTTCAATGCATTAATAATTCTTAATCTAATATCTTCAACATTTATAATAAATTTTTCTTCTTTTTCAGATTTTATTGGATTTTTATTATAAGCAGCATTATCGAAAAATTTTGTTAAAGTTAATAGACTTAAATTTCTACCATTTTTCAAAATTGGAACTTTAACAACTAAATTACCTAAATTTTTAATTCTTGTAGTTAAACTTCTTTTATCTTGACCAGTTTTTTGAGTTAAAGTTAAAGTATCAATACCTTCTTTTCTACTTTTAGCAATTTCCACTAATAAATCATAAGCACGACCAATAATTGGATTATTTTCTTTAGGTAACCCAGTAAGAACCAAACATTGATAATCACTAGTAACTCTTATGAAATATTTCCCCTGAGCAATATCATCATAATTTTTAGGAGCATCAATAACTTTTTCTTCAGCATTTAATATTTCAACATTTGAATTCTTTATCAACCATGCGTAAATCACCTTTTGATAAAACCCATCAATCTGTAATATTGGTGTCAACAACTCCCACAACTTATCAAACGACACACCTTGGGAACCCTCGTACGCCAACTCTGTCAATGCCTTGTTGACAATGCTGTCTGGGTACAACAAACTCATCTTTTGACCAATTGCAATCACCAACAATCTCACCAGCTTATCAAAACGTTTGAAACGCGTTAAAGCTTTAAAAACACCATTTGTTATCCTTCAAGTTTCGAACGTGGAACCTTTTCATGAAAAACCAAAACATTACCCGGTTTTTAAAGAACACGTCTCACAAAATCAGAATTTCTTTGATTCAGTTTGACAATAATCTTCTCAATTTGATGGGAAAACTCAGGTTGTGAATTGTGATCCATTTTGGAATATTTAAGAAGTTCTCTGTGTGGCAAAGTCAATTCATTGTTGTTCTCAGGGATTTGTTTTATAATTGATATTCTTTCCCCCAATTGGATTCTCATACTCATTGCTCATCATTAATTTCATCATAATCATATTATATTCACATAGTTACACATAGTTACAAATGAGTGCACAAGTTAATCCAGTTGCAGTTTCAGTGGCAAGTTTCTTGCGTAAGAATGAAACTCTAAAACAACGTCAAGGTTTAATCGCTGGTAACGTTAAGGATTTTTTCAGATTTAAAAGAGCTGAACGTGCATTATTATCAGAATCATATAAAGAAAAACAAGCTAATCCAAAAAATCAATTACCTCCAATTAATGATTCCACTGATGTCCATGCAGTATTTACCCTATTGATTAAAAATCAATTGGTTTTACCTTTTAAAAAACTAACAACTTCAGAAGCTAGAGAACAAGGTTTTATCCCAAAAAAAGATAAACCTGTTTTAATTCAATCACCAAGAGCAGATCTGATACCAGATGAATATTATGTTTGGTTTTACGTACAAAAATCCATTTGGGATTCATTAATGGGATTTGGACTCTTGGCTGGTATTTTCACATTAATTTTATTCCCATTATGGCCATTATTTATGAGAAAAGGTGTTTGGTATCTATCAATGGGACTTTTAGGTTTAATTGGGTTATTCTTTGTCATTGCCATTATCAGAATGATTTTATTTGGTATCACATATTTTGTTTTAAGTCCTGGATTATGGATATTCCCGAATTTATTCGAAGATGTTGGATTTTTTGATAGTTTTAAACCTTTATATGAATGGAATTACTCAAAAGAGAAGAAATCTAAAAAATCTAAAAAAGCTAAGAAAACTGTTGCTCAATCACCATTAGAATCAGTTGAAAATCAAGCATCAACAACAACAACAACTACTAATAATAATAATGCCACTGGTACAGGTGCTAATGCTAATGAAGGTGCTGCAAATGTCAGACGTAGAGCTACCCTGGAGGAAGTTGAAGAATAGTTTACTTTTTTTGAATAAAAAGATGACCTTGAACTAAGTTAATTGTAGTATTAAACCTTTTCAAATTGTAGTATTTTCTTGATCTAATTTGTATATAAATTCAATATTTTTGTATATGTGTCGCGAATTTTGGTCGTTATTAAAATTTAGAGCCCATAAAGTATCCATCTTTAATACCCGATATAAACCACATTGGAATCATACAACACAGGATAAAATGCTTCTTTCAAAAGGTAATTCTTTAAGATTGTTATCCCAAACATTATCATCCCAATCAAGAAGATTCACTCAATTATCAACAACTTCATTCAATATTGATCAAAATGAATTACAAAAAGATCTTGAAGAACCTCTAATTCAACATTTAACTAAAAGAGGTTTAATTTCACAAACTTCAAATCCAGAAGATTTAGAAAATTTATTAAACAAGACTAAACTAGGGTTATATTGTGGTGCTGATCCAACTGCAAAATCACTTCATTTAGGGAATCTTTTACCTTTAATCATCCTGTTACATTTTAATTTAAGAGGTCATAATATTATTGGATTAGTTGGTGGTGCCACGGGTGCAGTTGGTGATCCAAGTGGTAGAACTACTGAAAGATCAATGATGGAAGATCAAACAAGATTGGATAATGTTACCAAGATTCAAAATCAATTGGAAGGATTTTTCACAAATGGTATACGATATGCAAAATATTTAAGTACTTCTCATGTAATTGAAGAAGGTTTAATTAAATCTAAAAATAATTTTGAATGGTGGGAAAATGTTTCATTTTTAGGGTTTTTATCAACTTATGGTCGTCATATAAGAGTTGCACAAATGTTAGCAAGAGATAGTGTTAAAGGTAGATTAGAATCTGAAAATGGTATTGGATTTAATGAATTTACTTATCAAATTTTACAAGCTTTTGATTTTTGGCATTTATTCCGTAATGAACAAGTTTCAATTCAAGTTGGTGGTAATGATCAATGGGGGAATATTACTGCAGGTATTGATTTAATTAATAGATTGAAAACAAATTTAAATAAAAAAGATTCGTTGAAAAATAGATCATCATTTGGTATAACTGCACCTTTATTAACCACTGCATCAGGTGAAAAATTTGGTAAAAGTGCGGGAAATGCAGTTTTCATTGATTCCAAAATCACACCATCATTTGATTTATACCAATATTTTATTAAGACACCAGATTCTGAAGTTTCTAAATTATTAAAAATTTTCACTTTATTACCATTAAAACAAATTGAAGAAATCATTTCAAAACATGAACAAGATCCAAGTTTAAGATATGCACAAAGAATCTTATCAAATGAAGTTACAGATTTAATTCATGGTGTTGGTTCAGGTAAATCAGCTGCAATTATAAGTTCAATTTTATATCCATTGCCTGATCAACCATATCCAGATATTGGATCAGATGAATTAATTGATGCTTTTGAAAATGCAAATGTTTTGAAAACTTTACCTAAAGAGGAATTTTTAAATAAACCATTTAGTTTTATTTTATCAAAAGTTCAAGAAATTTCTAAAAATGAATCACGTAAATTGATTTCAAGTGGTGGTGTTTATCAAGGTTTTGATAGAATTAGAATTGATACTTCAGATTCAATGCTTTTAGGTGAAGATCAATTAATTGATGGGAAAGTTTTATTATTAAGAGTTGGTAAAGGTAAATATCATGTTATTCAACTAGTGTAAATAGATAATTATATATAACTGTATATAGATGTTAAATTAAATCCCTTTAACTTTAATGATTTGATCAATTGTATCGAAAACACCTTGTTCTAAAGAAATGAATTCAAAATCTAAAATTTCCTTTGTTTTAGTGTTATCGAAAACAGTAAAACTTTCTCTTAATGTTTCTTTATCTGAACCAGGTACACCTTTTGGAACTTTGTCATGTAATGAAGGGAATTTGGCATTAACTATATCTAATAATGTTTGTTCTGTAAAGGTAGTTTCATTCAAAAACAATCTTTTATTTATAGTATTATCACGTTGAAATGCAAATAAATGAGCTTTTGCCACGTCTCTAACATCAATAAACCCACCTTTCAATCTTTTGTAATCATCACCATTACCATTTGTCACCAGAGAACCAAGCAGATCACTTGAATAATTTAATTCATGAACGGTTTCATCAAATAATTGAGGACCAAACACGTAAGCTGGATTAATAACACTAACTTTAACATTTGGGTTCTTAGAACTATATTCCCAAACTTCTCTTTCAGTATAAGTTTTGGAAACGTCATAACCTGTAACAGCATCTATATCTTTGGAATTACCTCTAACCCACTCAACATCGTTCCATGAATCTTCATTTTCAACAAGATTTTGACCTTCACGATTAACCGAATGAATAGCAGAATCTGAAGAAGTATAAACAAGTCTCTTGACATTAAGACCATATTTGGTAACTGATTCCAAAAGATTCTTTGTACCATTTATAGCTGGTAAAATCAAATCTTGTTCAGCATCTTTATAATACCTTGGAAATACGGGTGAAGCTGTATGTAAGACAATTTCAATTTCTGGATGGCTTTGCAAGATTTGTTCAAAATGTTGCTTTGAGTCAGTTAAATCTGGAACGATAACATAGCTGAAATTGTCATTTTGGAAGTTTTTAACAAAATTATCACCCTTTTCCATTGTTCTAACTGTTCCTATAACGATATAATCTTGTTCTAAAAGGAGTTTGATAACATAAGTGGCAATGAACCCTGTAGCACCTGTGATTAAGACTGTTTGAGCCATTATATGGGAGTTAATATCAATTCTGAGTAGATCAATTGAATTTTATGGTATTGAAAAATGGATTCATTGTGTCTTTTATGTCTTTTATGCTTATCAAGCTTATCAAATGATTGAGCCACAATTACTAAGTAAAGGTATACAAACAATCAGGTAGAATGAATTAATAAACTAACGAGATACATCAAACTGATACAGATCAAATATTTCTGAGATATAATTCAATTGAAACAAATGTTTTCAATTAGTTGTTCCATTGTGTTTTCCTTCAAAGTTTTCCTATTGATCCCATGTCTTTGCATGCGCATTATATTACTTTAATAGATCTGATAACTCCAAACCGCTTTTTCAGTACGATGCGCATGAAAAAATTTGGAAGTTTTGTATAACGCTAATGAAGAAGTATAAATAAACTGAAGGAATTCCAGTTCGATATCGATCCTTTTTGAATGAATGTTGTTGTCAGAGAATATGATCATGCTTGAATCAACCAGCTATCAATGATGATTGTAATGGAATTTACTTCTGTTTTGAATATAGTTAATGATAAATCTATACTTATTAGTAACCGAAACCATGACATAGATGTAAACCCAATTTGACCAATGAGATTGTAACACTTTCTCATCTACGTATATTACTAGCTAAATGTCTAACTTGTTGAGCAAACTGTTTCATAATAATAATCATCATCATGCTTATCGTTCGTGGTATCTTGATGCTTGTGCTGTCACCATAAAGTTCACCAGCTTGTAATAAATATATTCCAGATATCATGTATCTCTCAGCTTCAGGTAAATTACTGTGAACAGATCTCAGGACATTTTGTGTATGATCAGCAGATTCAATGTTATATTGGGTAAAGATCGATTAATTGAAGGGAAAGTTCCATTACTAAGAGGTGGTAAAATGTATAAATATCATGTTATTCAACTGGTGTAAATAGGAAAATATAATAGTGTATATAGACTAAATTCCTTTAACTTTAATGATTTGATCAATTGTATCGTAAATACTTTGCTCTAAAGAAATGAATTCAAACCCCAAGATTTCTCTTGTTGTAGTATTATCTAAAACAACTCGTTTACTCAATGGTTCTTTATCTGAACCTGGTGAACCTTTTGGAATTTTACCTGCTAGTTGAGGGAATTTGGCATTAATTATATCTAACAATGTTTGTTCAGTGAATGTTCTTTCTTTTAAAATTAATCTCTTGTTTATAGTATTATCATGTTGAAATGCAAATAAGTGAGCTTTTGCCACATCTCTAACATCAATAAAACTACCTTGGAATTTCTTATAATCATCACCATTACCATTTGTCACTAAAGAACCAACCAAATCACTTGAATAATTTAATTCATGAACAGTTTCATCAAATAATTGAGGACCAAATACGAAAACTGGATTAATAACACTAACTTTAACATTTGGGTTATTAGAACTATATTTCCAAACTTCTCTCTCTGCAAAAGTTTTAGAAATTCTATAACCTGTACCAGCATCTATATCTTTAGACTCACCTTGAACCCATTCAACATCATTCCATGAATCCTCATTTTCAACAAAATTTGGTCCTTCACGATTAACTGAATGTACAGCAGCATTTGAAGAAGTATAAACAAGTCTTTTAACATTAGAACCATATTTGGCAATTGATTCTAGGACATTTTTGGTACCATTTATAGCTGGTAAGATAAGATCTTGTTCAGCATCTTTATAATACTTTGGGAAAACAGGTGAAGCTGTATGTAATACAATTTCAATTTCTGGATGAGATTGTAGAATTTGATCAAAATCTTTCTTTGAGTCAGTTAAATGTGGAACGATAACATAACTAAAGCTCTTATTATCGAATAGTTTTAACAACTTATCACCCTTTTCCTCCGTTCTAACTGTTCCAATAACGATATAATCTTGTTCTAAAAGGAGTTTGATAACATAAGTGGCAATGAACCCAGTGGCACCTGTGACAAAGACTGTTTGAGCCATGATTTGAGAATTGGTTTTGTTTAAATCAGGAAATAAATCAATTGAAGTTGAAAAAAGGATCCATTGTGTCTTTTATATCCCTATCAAAAGATTGAGATTGCGCAATTCCGATAATCACCAATGTCCACAATTAGTAAGTTCAAGTACTACTACAAATTAAACAGAAAAACTAATCAAATCACATACAATATATATAGAAGTATCAGTTAATTCAATTGAAAGAAATATTCATTTCATTTTTTCTTCAAATGTCTCATATTGTCATGTCTCTCGAGGCACTTTCTATTGTTATCGGATTTACTACAATATCATCTAGATATTAATCTATTCATTTTATAGGTATATATCTTAGATCTTTCCTTGAACTTTCAAGATTTGACTCACCGTATCCACAATTGTTTGTTCTTGTGGTATGAATTCAAACCCTAAGATCTCTTTAGTCTTTGAATTATCTAAAGTATAATAACCTTTGAAAACTTCTTGATCAGAACCCGGTTTACCAATATCAACTTTATTTGAAACTTGTGGGAAATGTTTATGAATCAAATCTTTTAATGTTTGATTATTATAAGGTGCTAATGCTGTAAGTAATCTTTGAGAATCAGTTTTAGAATTTTCAATACATGAAACATGAGCTTTTGCCACGTCTCTAACATCAATTGAATAACCCAAAATTTCATCATCTTGTTTTTTCAATATCTTGTTTATAATTTCACATGAGAAATTTAATTGTTCTGAAACATATTCATCAAATAGTTGAGGTCCAAATATATAAACTGGATTTATAATGGAAAATTTGAAATTGACATCATGATTCTTTTGGAAGAAATCCCAAACAGCTTTTTCACCATGAGTCTTGGAAGCTTCATAAGCCTTACCACTATCATTTTTAGCTTCATTTAATTTAACATTATTCCATGATTCTTCAGTAACAACTTCATCTTGGCTATAACCATCTTCAGAACGAATAGCAGCTAATGAAGAAGTATAAATGAATTTTTCCACATTTGGTAAATTCTTATGAACAGATCTTAGGATATTTTGAGTACCATGAATAGCAGGTTCAATCATATCTTTTTCCACATCTTTTAAATTTTTAGGAAAAACAGGTGAAGCAGTATGGAAAACATATTTTATATCAGAATGTGCACTCAAAGCTTGGTCAAAATCATCTTGAGAATTGACAAGATCTTTCACAATAACGTATTGGAAATTGGAGTTTTGAAATAATGAAGATAACTTGTCACCTTTCTCAGTAGAACGAACTGAACCAATAACTTTGAAATCTTTTGATAATAGTTGATTGATTAAATGTTGGGCCATAAACCCAGTGGCACCGGTAACGAATACTTTTGACATCTTTGACTAAACTGATGAATAAATAGATGAAAAGATCAAATATATGAGATATCCACCTCCTTTTATATCACATTCTTTTTAGCAATTTGTGATTATTTTGATTGTGATATCGTGTAATTACAAGCAATTTGATGATGTTTATTGCTTATTATCGCGAGTTCAAAAGTAAAAAGTAAACAAATATACGAAGGAATAACCAAAAACCCATTAAATCACTTTAAAAATGACTTCAAATTCAATTGATTTCCATAAAATTGCTGGTGATTTGAACAATCGTTATAAGGAACATGTTTATTCAAAAAATCAACAGGATTATACTGAACTTGTTAAAATCTATAGAGATTTGGTGGTGAAGAGTCCCCTTGGAAGACAATTACCACAATTATTCAATTCTATTTTCAAATATGAAGATCCATTGGCTCAGGAAGCTGCTTTAGATGTTATTGATTTAGGTAAAATTTATCAAGGAGTTGATGAACGTACCAAGAAACAAGAAGAACAAGGTGATACTTTAGATATCAAATATGGTTATACAGATTTTATTGTTATGGAATTATTAAAATGGTTTAAACATGATTTCTTCAAATGGGTTAATGAACCTGAAACTTCTACATTACAGGGGAAAGCTAGATTAATAAGAGTAGAACCACCAACTGCTTTGGAATCACAAGATGGGAATGCAAGTTCCGTTGAAGTTTACCAGTGTGAGGGAGATGGTTCAATAATAAGATTCCCAAGATATAATGATCCTGTGAAATTATTAGAAACAAAAAAAGGTAGATGTGGTGAATGGGCAAATTGTTTTTGTTTAATACTTAGATCCATGGGGATAAGAACAAGATATGTTTGGAATGCAGAAGATCATGTTTGGTGTGAAATTTATTCTGAATCACAAAAAAGATGGATTCATATTGATTCGTGTGAAGAATCATTTGATAATCCAACTTTATATAACAAAGGATGGGGTAAAAAAATGAGTTATGTTATAAGTTATAGTATTGATGGTACCCAGGATGTTTCCAAGAGATATGTTGTTGATAAAGATAAATCATTACCAAGAAATAAAATTAATGAATTGGATTTACAAAAGATATTAAGGTTTTTAACAGTTAATCAAAGGAGAAACTTGGGTAAAGATGAAATTTATAAATTAAGTATAGAAGATTCGATTGAAAAATTGGAATTGAATGGTCAAAAACCAATATATCTTCAAAGCGATATAGTACAACCAAGACAAAGTGGTAATGATGAATGGAAAGAAAAGAGAGGTGAAGATGGGAAGTAGCTACAAATAGAATATAAATCAAATAATATATCTATGAATATATCTAATAATGTAATTTTGAATCATATCTTGAAACAGGTTTTATATAATCAGTTTCAGGTTTCTTTGTAGTATCAACTAAATCATTAAAATTTTTAAAAAATTCACAAATTTTCTTTGATGCCCAAGAATCACCATCAGATTGAATATAACCTAAATGACCACCAAGATCTGTTCTCAATTGAACAATATATGGATTATGTTTAGCTTCTTCCGTTGGGATTGAATGAACACCAACCACAGGATCATCAAATGAATTTATTGATAATAAAGGAGTTTGAACATTGAAAATTCTATTTATTGAACTTGCAGCTCTATAATAAGTCCAAGAAGTTGGGAATCCATATAAAGGTGCAGTTATTCTATTATCAAAATCACTTATTGAAGTATATTTATGTTTTAAATCCTTTTCAGTGATTAAACCTTCTTTTAATAATGTTTCTCTATTTGATTTTAATAATCTTGTTAAATATGAAGTTGTAACATCTTGAAATAAAAATCTTGTTAAAAATCTATTGGGGAATCTATACATTGAATCAACCATATCCCAAGGATTTGATAATGTAACAGATGCAACAAATGGTGATTGGTCCCCTTCTTCACCTAAATAATTAACCAATACAGTAGAACCAAATGAAAGTCCAATACCAAATAAAGGTCTATTTGGATAAATGTTTTGAATAAATTTAACGAAATGACGTAAATCATCAGTGGCAAGACCATTAAATAATTCACCAGAAGTTAATTTTGATCTTGAACAACCTCTTGAATTTAAAACAACAACTTCAAATCCATTTATATTGGTTAATTTATCTACAATAGATCTAACTTCTGGTGCATGAGATCCAGAACCAAGACCATGAGATATAATAACCAATGGTTTTGTATCGTTACTAGGTTGTTGTGATAGTTCCTCTGGTGTGAAGAATCTTGTTCTTGGATGTTGTTTTGGCCAACCTGATGGTAATGTTTTAGCAGCAATATTATAAAAATCTTCTGTTGATTCAGGTTTTGGTATAGCAAAGTCAGCAGTTGAACTACCACCATCAGGGAATTCAATAAGTCTTCTACCATACCATACTTGAAACTCACGGGAGTAATCAGCAGCACCAAGATACATTGTTTGTAAATCCCCAGTGAATAACCACGGTTTTAACCAGAATTTTGAACCATTTGATAAACCATCCACTGAATTAACAACTTCTTTGAAAGGTATTATAGAAGTACCATCTTCACCACCGTTTTTCAAGTGTAGTTTGACAGTGTTGTCTGCTTGGAAGCTTTCCACATTCCCTATGAAACCGACCATCTTGAGCTCTTTGTTCTAGTTCTCGTTGATCTACTTCTAGTTGATCTTGTTGTTTAATTTGTTTCAAATTTCAATTATCAACACTTTTTATTTCCAGTATAAAAGATCAAATTATTTCCTCGGCAAATTGAAAGAATGCCGGAAAGACTGAAATGTTGGGAAACAAATTAAAACACAGTGGAAATTCAACCAATTATTAAGAAAAAACACAATGGAATACGAGGGAAATTATGGGATATTTTGTTGTGTTTTATATGTGATAATTGTAGTGATTTGCTGTGTTTATTTCGTGTTGGTTTGTTGGTCTCGATCTCGTTTAAACCGTTGAAAAATTATTATTTCAATCATTAATACTCAACATTAATACTAACGTCAAAGATCAAGATCACCTCCTCCACAATGCTCCATCCTTTGATCAAGAGACATAGTCTCCAGTTCATAAGGACATTCCATTCCACCAATGTCAAATTCAGTGCTCAAAGTATTATAAAAAGAAAATCTTTAAACGATATACGTCAATTATATAATTCAAATACTAAAATTTCAGTTTTAACAGCTCATGATTATATATCTGGTAAAATTGCAAATGATTCTGATGTGGATATGATTCTTGTTGGTGATTCTTTGGCAATGGTTGCCCTTGGTTATGAAGATACTAATGAAATCCCATTTGATGAATTCCTATATCATTGTCGTGCTGTTTCAAGAGGTACTACAAAAAGTTTCCTTATAGCAGATTTACCATTTGGTTCTTATGAATCTTCTATTTCAAAAGCTATAGAATCTTCTGTTCAATTAATCTCCAAGGGAAGAGCAAATGCTATTAAATTAGAAGGTGGTAAAGAAATTGCTCCAACTATTAAAAGTTTAACTCAAGTTGGTATACCTGTTATGGCACATATTGGGTTAACTCCACAAAGATCAAATTCTTTAGGTGGGTTCAAAGTCCAAGGAAACACTGGAGATTCTGCTTTTGATATTTATCAAGATGCCCTTGAAGTACAGAAAGCTGGTGCTTTTGCAGTGGTATTAGAAGCTATTCCTGCAAAAATTGGGAAATTTATTACAGAAAATTTAAGCATACCAACAATTGGTATTGGTGCAGGACCTGATACAAGTGGTCAAGTACTTGTTCAAGCTGATTTATTAAACCTAACAAATAGTGAAATAAATCCAAAATTTGTTAAAAAATATCTAAATGGTTATAAATTAAGTATTGATGCTATTGGTGAATATATTAATGATGTTAAATCCCAGAAATTTCCTGAATTAGGTATTCATACTTATAAAATTAAAGATGATCATTATGAAAATTTTATTAAAAAAGTTGATGAATTAAAGAATAAAAAATAGACTAGTTTAATCTCGTGTATATAGTAATATAAATTAATCCCAATGCATGTTGTAGGATCTTCACTTTATCAACACGGATTTCCCATCTCTAATAGGTATATATTCACCAATTTCTTCATTATCTTTACTTAAATCCATAACTAAAGTTTTACCAAATTCACCTGCAAATATATCATAAACTTTATTTAAATTTTTTGCTAATTCTTCTAATTTTAATTTTGGTTCAAGAAAATGTTCACTGCTTAATACAAATGTCCCCCAGTGCACCCCAATAATTTTCTGGGCTTTTAAATCTTTCATAATTTTAATACATTCCTCCGGGTTTATATGACGAGGTTTTTGATGCCATTGAGGACAATATTGTCCACATGGTAACATTGCTAATTTTAAACCATATCCATACTTGGATCCAATCATTTTAAATAAATCATTAACATATCCTGTATCACCTGCATGGAAAAAAATTGGTTTATTATTTCTTAAAATAACATATGAACACCAAAGTGATGAATTTGAATCTAATAAATGTCTACCAGACCAATGCATTGCTGGTGTACATACAATTTCATAATGATTATTTGGATCTTCACTAACGGGTAATTTAACTCTATCCCACCAATCTAATTCAATTATATTGAAAATCCCCTTCTTGGCTAATGATTTCCTTAAACCTAATGGTACAATCCATGTACTTTCATTATGTAATTTATCTGCAATTTCTTCATCAAAATGATCAGGATGATTATGTGAAACCATAATAAAATGTGGTTTGGGTAATTCCTCAATTTTACATGGTGATGGAGTTATTCTTTTTGGGCCTAAATATGGATTAACTAAATAATTTGCAAATAATGGATCTGTAAGGAAATTAACACCACTTATTGAAATATATGAACAACTTTGACCTAACCAAGTAAATGTTAAACGATCTTGGAATTTTGGTAACTTAGGATCACTGGATTCCTTTTTAGTTGGATTATCTTTTAATGAAGATTCTCTTAGGAGTTCAAAATCTGGTGTGAATATGGGTAATAATTCTCTAAGTTTGGAATTTGATGGAACATTACCTCTACTTTTACCTTCAAATAATTCTAATATTCTTGATAAAAAAAATTCAAATAATGTTTGGACTCTATATTCTTCAAATGGATTTTCAAATCTACCAGCAACAGTAAAACTTAAATATTTATCAATTAAACTTGCTTGACCATGGATTTCTTCAGGTTTTAAGTTGGAATTTGCAATTTTCAATTGTTCTAATTGTGATCTTTTTGTGATTTCTTTATTTGCTGCGTATGAGACATAAAGAGCATATGAAGTATAAGATGCCACTATACCAAGTCCGATCTTTGTGGGTATTGAAAGAGCCATTGAAGAAGCAGTTAGTGAATATTCTGGCTGGTAATAGAAGCTATATTATTTTTGTTTATTGGTGATGTTCTTGATATGTTTCGGTTTGTTTTGGTTTGTTTTGACATGTTTTTGGAAGCTTAAATTTTAGATTTCAAATCTCCGGAAATTTAAATCTTTTTAAATCCTGAAAAGCGTCAAATTAAGATCAGCAAATTGAACACCAAAAATATGGAAACTAAGATCATTTTAGTGTCAGACAAAGCCAATCTCTCAGATTCTCTTTGGCTTTCTGTTCAAAAGCACATCATTTCGCAACCTTCTACAGAAAAAGTCATTATTTATTAAATATTACAATTAATTTGATGCTCTATTAAACTCTATATATGCAAAAATGACTCTATACCTTGGTCTTTGATGCCAAAAGATGTGATCCAGCCTCTTGTAACATCGACAAATCAATCACACTCACGTTTCTAGCATAGCCTTTTGTAGTATACACATAATCAGTATACATGATTGCATCTGCCTTTTTACCAAAAATCATTGATGATGGATGAACTGAAATTAATTGACCTGATGCTGTAGTTCTATATGATCTATCAGGCATACCAATAGCTGTATTTGATACAAACCCAATTAAAAAAGCCTTGAGTACTGATGAAATATCCATTGGTTTATTACCAATTTCTTCATCTTCATCAAATAAATGTTGATCTTTTGTTAACATAATCATATATTGTCTAATTTGATTTCGTACTCTCAAAACATTTTTAAATCCACGGAATGATAATGATAATTCTTTACACCATTGTTGTCTTTCTCTTGAATTATCAAATTGAATATAAAAATCTAATAATTCTTTCAACATTAATAAATCACCATATTTTGAACCTAGGATACATAAACTTAATCTTTTTTCATTAACTTCATCTCTTGATTCGGATTGTGGATTCATAACTAAATTATCAACTGATAAACATGATACAATATCAACAACTTGTGTTAAACAACCAGTTTCATATGCATTCAATAAAATTGCTGATAATTGTGGTTCTAATGGTAATATAGCCATTTGTAAACCTAATTTTGTAATTTTCCCTTGGTCATCAAGTGCTTTAATTTGATATAATTGTGTTAATGATGATAATAATGATTCTTGCCCAGGGTGTTCTAACCATGACCAATTTAAAATATCATCAATACCTGCTCTTTTTAACATTAATACAGGTGATGTAACATTTGATCTTGAAATTTCTGGTTCTGTTTGATTTGGTAATTTACCATAATCATCTTCGGTATATAATCTAAAAGCTTTACCTTCTCTTTCACGACCAGCTCTACCAGCTCTTTGAGTGGAAGATGCTTTAGAAACTGGTGCTGTTAGCAAAGTTGATAATCCTAATTGATGTCTCCAAACTTTAACTTTACGTAACCCAGAATCAATAACATATCTAACCCCTGGAACTGTAATAGAAGTTTCTGCAATATTTGTAGCTAAAATAACTTTTCTTCTTCTTGCTTTCAATGGTAAAAACACTTTAGCTTGTTCCACAGGTGGCAATGCTGCATAAAGAGGTAATGGAACAATTAATGGAGCTTCTCTTGGTAATCCTGGTGCAATTCTTTCTAATAATCCAACACATTTATCAATTTCTTCTTGACCTGGTAAGAAAACTAAGATATCACCTTCTAATTCACCATTATTAACTTGAACAATAGATTTGATTGAAGCATCAACAATATCTTCCACTGGTTCACCTAAATAAAGACGATCAACATTATACATTTTACCTTCGACATATAAAATTTGTGCATCATTATAAAATTTTGAAAATTTTTCAGCATCTAATGTAGCAGACATAATGATTAATTTTAAATCATTTCTCTTGGTTAATAATTCCTTTAGGAACCCCATTAATAAATCAGTTAACACTGTTCTTTCATGTGCTTCATCAATAATTATTGTAGAATATTCAGGTAATGAAGATTGAACCATTAATTCTCTTAATAACATACCATCTGTTAAATATTTTAATTTTGTATGATGAGTGGTTTTATTATCAAATCTAACAGAATAACCAACTTTATCACCCAATGCGGATCCAGCTTCCTCAGCAACTCTTGTAGCTAAATTTATTGCTGCAACACGACGAGGTTGTGTAACAGCTATACTTTTTTTATTTAAAGGTAATAAAAATTGTGGAATTTGTGTAGATTTACCTGAACCTGTTTCACCAATAAGTATAGTGACTCTTTCTTTTTGTAATTTGGATATTATTTCATCTTTTGATTTATAAATTGGTAGAGTTTCTCGTATTTTTAATAATTGTTTTGATTTTAAAATTCTTGATTCTTTTGATAATTCAATACCTCTTCCATCTCTTTGTTCTTCTTCATCATCACTGAAAAAATTCACAGTTTTAGGTTTCCCATTGCCATTGGTTTTCAATTTGGTACTTATTTTAGGTTTTTTGTTGTTTACTTTAGGTAATTTATGTATTTTACGATCTTCTTGATCTATTGATTTGACTTGTTTTGAATTAGGACTTTCCACTGTAAGATCATTACCATTTGAAATTTCAATATTAACATCTTTTGAAATATTGGTTTGATTTTCTTGATCTTTAGCTTCAAGATCATTAGATGTCTTCTTCTTTCTTTTTCTCTTTTTAGATTTATTAACTTCTGTTGACGTTACTTCATCATTATATTCAGGTGTATTCAATACTTCATTTTTAGGTACATCATCTTCAAATTTTGTATGAAGTTTTTGGTTATTCCCCTTCCAACTCATCTTTATTATACGCTTATCCCAAGATGGTATAACCCCTTTCAAATACCTATCCTTCCTTTTTCTTAAACCTACTAATAATTTCTTTAAAATCAGTATATTTAATACTCGAAAAATTTAAATCCCATCGGTCAGAGCAGCATTTCTTTAGCACTAGCCACATAATTACCGTATTGGGTTTTCAGTGTGGCTAGTGTGTTTTTCTCTCAGTGTGGCTGTTGTGGATCAGCTAAAAATGGAAATTGAAAACATTGAAATTTAAATTGTTTCATAAAGTAATCTTGAAAGTATATCAACTATCAGTAAACAGGGATCAAAGACCTGCATTCACACCCCACACTCCCTCTCTTTGCATAGGTGATTCATGTCCACACAGCTACTCAGAGTATGGCAGTTCGTATACGTCCAGCTACTACACTAGCTGTTGTCCTAGCTATAGCTTTTGCTTTCCATTTGATTACAATACTTTCAGTCCCAATAACAAGTTCAATAACATTGTGCACTTATGATGGTTACAAATTTGGTGTTTTCGGTCTATGTCATGGTGATAAATGCTCAAACCCTGCTATTGGGTATAGTGGTAAAGAACTTGGTGATGTTGATGGGTTTTCACTACCTTCAAATGCAAGACATTCAGTATCAAAATTATTAGTTGTTCACCCTATAGCTGCTGGGTTTGTACTTATTTCACTTGTCTCATCAGTATTATTACACTGGCATGGACCTTCAAATTCGTTAAGATTTTTGTTTTTCTTATTGTTATGGACTATTCCAAGTTTCTTAATCTCATTGTTATCCTTTTTAGTTGATATATTATTATTTGTCCCACATTTGGATTGGGGTGGATGGATTATTTTAGCTTCTACAGTGTTAATTGCCATTTCAGGTGTCTTATTATGTATTATGAGAAGAACAATTTCATCAAGAAGAGGTTTAAAACGTAAAGATACATTCAATAATAATGATTATCATTTACAACCTTTAAATTATGGTTATGGTACTGTGGATGGTAATTCAGATACAAAATTCGGCTCCAAATCATTTGAAGGTAAAGATGAAGATGAAAGAGCTCCTTTTGTTCATGAAAATGATGAAAATTATGATAATACTATGAATGTGACTAGAACAAATGAAGATTTAAATAATTACCCATCTACTCAATTATATGATTCAATGCGTGGTGAAAATAATAGAAGTGCACAAAGTAACTCAACAGGTTATAGATCACCAGAAAATATATTGGCACCTTTATCAACTGCTTATAGAGGAGCAGCTTATAATGATACATTACCAGAAGATTCAACTCAACAACATATCATAAATTCAACTTCACCACAACCAAATCAATATCAAGATGAACCTTATTCACAACAACAACAACCTTTAATTCCACAAAATACATCCTCTTCACCTGATTATTCTGCACCATATCCAACAAATCTTCCAAATACTGATTTCCCATCAACTTCATCACCTCCATCTCAACAACAGGAACAACAACATAGATGGAATGCACCATATCCAGAAGATAATGATTATAGTACAAGAAGTTATGATCGTAATAGTACACCTCATGTTGGATCAAGACCTTCGGGACCTCGTCCAATGCCATTTGCATCAAGTGGTATACAAGAAGAATTACCTTTATTACCTTCAGAAATCGCTGCAAATACTTTAAATTTAAATAGAGGTGATATAGGACAACCTTCGAATGTTGAACTTGATCAATCAAGAGAATCTAATGAAAGCCCAAGTGCTCCACCATTACCTTTAGATGATGATGATTCAAACGATGAATATGATGATGCTGAAACAACATTACCTGCATATCCACATGAAGAAAATCCGCATCCATTGGTTCAAGAAACTAAAAGACTTTATGAAAGTGAACCACCATCACAACAGCAACAACATCAACATCAACAAGAGGATGAAATGTTACAAGCACCATCTTCTTCAAATAATCATGATGTTTCAAGACAAGCAACATATAGAACTAAAATTGCTAATGCTATTGATCAATTACAAGGTACTCCAATAGCTAATAATAGTGAATATTTGGCAACAAATGATAGTTTATTAAGCTCGACTTCACACTTGAACCTAAATGCATCTTCAAATAGTGTTGCTGCTAATAATCAACAACATGGAAATAATTTTGATGATGAAGATGATGATGACTTATATAGTGCACCTGCAAGATCCGTTACAGTGGTACCTGAAGAATCTGAAGCACCTCCATTACCATCACCAAGTGCAGAATCTTTCCAAAGTGATGCATCATCAAATTATTCATCACAAGTCCCATCAGCTTTAAATTCACCATTAGATCCACCAACTAGAGGTCATTCATTACTAAGACCTAATAGAGGACCATCAGCATCACATTTAAGACCAAATGATTCATTATATGATCATCATGAAAGAATCCCATCAGCAAGTACAATATCTAATAAGGAATCATCAGAAGATTTATACCCATTATCGGATCCATTAGCTAAAAGACCAACACCAGCACCATCATTTTCAAATATATCAATAACATCTTCAAACTTTACATCAGTTTCACAAAGAGGTATCAATCCAAAATATCTTGAAAAAAATCCTCACGAAGCACCACAAGTTTTACGTACACCACATACATTACAAGAAGATCTTGTACCAAGTAGACAACCAACTTCAACATCACCACAAAAGACCAAAGCACCACCACAAGATTTATTAATCATGTCAAATCCAGATTTTTCAATTTCATCACCAAATAAAAGAAATGGTAAGAAAAAACCATTAACAAGACCTCCAAATTATTAATGATAATCATAATTTGTTAATTGTTTAGAGAATAATAAGATAAAATTCACGAAGTTGGAAAATATTTATGAACAATATATTGTAGTTTATGTATATTATCCTCTATAGAAGCAAACAAATTAACATCTCGAATGATTCTGTATAAATTCACCAAAATTTTATAAACTTACTGAAGCACATGATTAACCCATTAACCCTCAGTCCAGTAATGTGATTAATATACGTTAGGAGTTAGGAGCTTCATGTTTTGAAATCACAGATATTTTGTAGGTATTTCGGTAGTAGCTTATAATTTTTCAGTATATTATACCACTTAACATATTCTACCGTACGTAGTGGGATTCCTTAGCAATTTTTAAGTACAGCTAACAATATATCTATACTAGTTCGGTCGGCCAAGAATTACTTCGGAATATTTGAAATGACATAATGACAACGAATTTCTCCATTTTGGTACTAGTAAATATATGAATATAATCCTTAAGTTTAGGAAAATCTTATGGTACTGCTATTTGGTTGTTAAAACGACTTTGAAATTTTGGCTTTTTTTTATTTAAACAATTTTAAAGTAATTTTAAGGTTTATTAGGTTACCTTTTTCTTTTTTGAAAATTTTTTATCAAAAAAAAAGTTTGAAATTACCGTGTTTGATGATACAAGAGCCTATTTAAAGCAAAAATGAGCTCAAGAATTACAATTAAATCCTCAAATACTTTAAATTGCATGCTTAATTAAAGAAATTGTTTTCTATTAAACTCTTTCGGCCGATAAATCTTATAGAACAGATTCGCGCCAATTTGAAAAAAATACCCAACTTCAACGTCAAAATTGAAAAGTTATAAAGATCTGAAAACACCTTAAGAGCGTAACGGTTCACTTCAAGAAGTAGGCATGTCGAATACAATCAAGCAGACGGTACACAAAGGGAGCAAAAGTCTTGATTTCATCAGCCATAACTTGAGAGCTTCTATCGTCAAGCCTTTATCATCTCAAGAAGAAGCTATAAACGTTCCAGATAGAAACTTCAAAGAAAGAATAAAGACTCAAGATGTTTATTGTAATGCTTACTATAGACCTAATGGTATAGACAAATTGATCAAGACAATAGAACCTGATATGGTGAACAGAACAGGTGCATTGCAATCATTTATTATATCAACCGATTCCAAACCAACAGTTGAGAAGAAAATTAGATTTGATTCTGAAAGACAAGCTATAACATACTTCAAAAACATTCCAAAGCAATATCAGACTTTAAACACTATTGAATTTGAGAAAATTGTGACCAATTTATCAAATGAATCCCAAACACAATTATCAGAAATTTATGATGGTACAAGTCAATCTTTAGATAATATCTTAGCATTAGATCTCAACAATACAGATGACTCAAAAGTTAATAACAAAGACAAAATACTTTACGTCATTCAAAATCTATTAGATACCACCAATATTTCAGTATTGGAAGAGGTCACAAGGTTCATCACAACTTATACTATCAACATTGAAAGTCCAAGTGAATCTAAAGATATAACCATTAATTTCCTCAATCAAATCATCAATCAAAATTATAAACTAGATTCATATCCCTCAATATTAGGCTTTTTAACCAATTTCAAAGAACAATTATTTAGCAAATATAAAATATTGAATAAAGATGCTCAAGTATTGGACTCATGGGCTAAAACTTATATCCATTTTGATGATTATGAAAATACAAAACATTTCATGGACAACTGTATTAATACAGGATTTACCCCTTCTTCCAACACCTTAAAATCATACATTTCATTAACTCAAGAAAAACATGAATCCAAAAAAATACCAAAATTTCAATATTTCTCTTCATTAATCGGTTTAGATGATGCTATTCATACACAATTAGATGGTGAATTAACAAATGAATTATTGAAAAGATCGAATTCACCTGAAGAAATAATATCTTTAATTCAAGCATTGAAAAATAAATATCAAGATGATGAATTGAAGAATGAAATCATAAAAATCAAACCATTCATTCAAAACTATTTAACAACACACATTCCAACATTAGATGATGATCCAGCAATCAAAACAACGATTCATAAAGAATTTGAAGAATTATCTGGTGAATTTTTAAATGAAGAAATTTTGTACACTTTAAGAAGAAATGGTAACTTTATACTTGCACAAAAACAATTACAAAAAATGGAAAAGGTGGATAAAAGTTTTGGAATACGTATTATGAATACAGCTTTGACAAGAATCTTAGAAGCAGATATTGGTAGACCTGGTTTTGATAAAAAATCAAGAGATGCTTTTGTTCAATCCATAAAATTAAAAATGGCTGAATCAAATAGTCAATAGCATGTTTAAGGATCTATGAGATAGTTAATTTACTTGTAACTGTATATAAAACCCACTTTACCTTAAATATTCATTAAATAAATCAAGTGAGAGCCTATAGACTTATATAAAATGTAAATATGAATTCTGAATTCACATAAAATTTCACAGAAGGTTTGGGTCTATGTTATCGCGAATGTGTTTTTTATGTCTTGGGTCTTGGACTCCCCGGTAACAAAATATGATACACATCTGAAAAAAAATATTTGTAGTCTTGAAACTGGTAAATTTAAAAGAACTTAAAGCATCTTAGATTTCTCCTTTCTTCATTATTATCTACAATGTGTCAAGGAACTCAAGATGAAAAGCAGTGTTGTTATATACTTTCTTGCTTTTACCCTAGTTGATTCCAAGCTATTTGACTATGGCTTAAATGATATAAACCATTCAACACTAAATAAAGAATCAGAATATTCAATTTCAGATATAATCAATCGACATAGAAGCTTAACAGATGTTGCTAGAGAAGACATCAAAACTTTCCAAAACCCCAAATATGATACATCTTGTATAAAGAAATCATTAGAACCAATTTTATCTAAATGTTTGAAGAATAGTATTGATAGTATAGATTCAAATTTAAGAGTGGAAACTGCAGCTAAATTATCAATATGTGAATTCGAAGCTGCTAAAATCACATATCCAGTTGAATGTTATCCAAAGACATATTATTTTGGAAATGATGAAGATTCAATAGATTATCAAGAATGTATACTAGGATTGGAAAAGAGTCCTCAATGGTGGACGACTTATAGTGGGAATTATAGGGCTATTGGTGATATTTGTTTCCAAGAATCTCTTCCATATGAAAAAGATGAAATTCTAAACTTATTTTTGAACGTTACAGAAGTTTATGAACAAATTTTACAAGATTTAAATGCAAATGTTGAAATGTCATCAAAATTTAAAGAAACTTCATTAAATTCATTTGAAGAATTACAAAAATTTATGAATCAAGTATTGGAAAAATTAGAGAAAGATACTAATGAATCCAAACATGAATTTGAAATGAAGTTGAAAGATATGAATTCGGTTTTAGAAGACACATCCAAACTAGCTAAAGTGTTTTCAAATGATACTACAGGTATGACTGATATTGTTTTAAATCAAATGAGTGATTTAAGTTCAAAATGGGATGGTTTTTTCACACAATATAACAGTGACGATTTTTTAAATGAATTATTAGGGATGAAACAAATATTTGTACAAGAACTGGAAACAAGAGATTTACAAATAAACAATTTAATGAATTCATATAGTGACAAATTGGAATCATTATATCAAAGCTCATATGAAAATAATGAATTATCAGAAAAGATTGGAGAAGGTTTACGAAAATCATTGAAAGATACCAATGAATTGAAAGATGTTTTAAAACAAACTGAAAATTCTGTTACAATTAGCTCAGAATTTGCACAAAATTTACTTGAATCATTTAAAGATTTAGACCAAATGAATATTGGTGAAATTTTGAACGTTTCAGAACAAGAATTATTGCTAGTTTTCCAAAGAATAACAGATGAATTGAACCAAGAGATGAACAAAATTCAAACTCAAACGAGGAAGTTAGATAATGAATTAGATATATTGGTTGGAAAGATCGATATTGCAACTGGTTCATTAGTTAAGATTAATGATATTTTGACTAATAATGTAATCATGAAGTCATTTATATTCCTAGCTTCCACTTCAAAGGTATTATCAAGAAGAGTTTCACTAACGTTATTAGGTGGATTGACGTATTATTTTTTTTTGAGATACTGGATGAGACTTGTTACTAGAAAGCCTGGGTTTTTGGTCATATTACTTTGCTCGACGTTATGTGGTCTGTTTGTTGGAGATTCTATAATCAATGTTATCCAAAGGTTTAATAGAATAGAGATAAACTCAAGTCCTATAGTATACCACGATGTTAATTAGCCATAACTAATTATATGAACTTTACAAAGTTTGATCACATCCTTTCAATCTGTAGCTATGAAAAGAACTTATGAGAGCTGTTAGTGATATAAGCTAGTATTGATTTTGAAACATAGATAAAACACCATTGAAACAAATGATATAGGCTATTCATAAGCGCGTACGAAGCTATAAAGATCGACAGTTAATAGACTTTAAAGAGTTTCCAGAAATAGATTAGCATCCTTAAAGAAGTTTTGCAAAGCTTCTTTTCATAACTTCCCTTCAACAATCCATGTATTGTAGATCAATTTATTTAATTTTCAAGTCCGCATTATTTTCAATAAAGTTTATTTACTTCCCCAGATCTAAAAAAAGTACAGAGATCTAAAAATGGAACACCGTATATAAAAAAGACTCGGAAGATATGTACAACAACCAAAACGGATAAGAAGTTTGAGCTTTGAGCTTGGTGGACAAGTACAGGAAGACAATAAACTAGCATAGTATTACTGTTTCCGGAGGGTGTACTTTAATGGTAGTGAAGTTGTTGGGTAACAAGCTTGTCTGGTTAATTAGCTGGTTTCGACGCTAGTTGGTAGCTACTAGCTAATGGACGTTTTGAAATTATAGATGATGATTCCTGGATGCCTTATGTACCACAGTTCAAACTAAAATTATGTAGTATGCGTATAGCTTATAAGAGAGTACAATATCAAATGCCGTTAATTAGCAATATCAGATCAGCAGTACTGAACAGAAGTTGAACGTTTGTATAACATCGAAGTATTTAACACACGGGGCGTCGTTGACACTTTGTGAAGCTTTACAGTGGAATTTAAAACGTTTGACGTTTTAATTTTTAAACACTTACTATATAAGAGACATTAGTAATTACACACCGAAGATCATCATATATAGATCTAGTTTTATTCGAATAACATTAAGTTGCGGATTGAAATTGCAATGGAATTAAAATTTTTTTAATTAATTTTGATCTTGATGGTTCACTAATTTGCCTAAATAAAGTTCTCTTTGTGACTCGTGACTCGTGACTCGTGAGCTCGTGAGAATATTTTTTTCATTCAGCGGACTATTTGCGCGTCCCTCAAATGCCCCTAGGCGGCATGGACATTGGATAGCCCACTGCCCCCTGGCCCCTGGGCGGACGTAGGCTCCTCTGAATGGGCTTAAAATTTCTGCTAGACAGGAAGCTCTTAGCCTGAACAGTGAACAGTGAACAGGTTACAGGTTACAGGTTACAAACGCCTTACATTTTTCCAGCGGAAATAATTAGAAAACGGTTAAGCAGTCTTTGTGCCCTGTGCAGCGCATAGATTTCAACAGATTGAAGCATGTTTTAGCAGGATTCCTGGAACTTTAGGCAGGAAGCTTTAAATAACCTTCTTCTGGTACATTCAAACATTAAAAATGTTAAGCTATCATGAGTGACAAGTGTCCACTGGTTTACAGATCTTATATCTTATAGACTAAACAATTTAAACGTTGTTTAATATTATTACATATATTATACCTGATTTCTAGTTCTCCAGCTGTTCAGTGCTGACTCCTGAGGTATACTTTCATGCAATAAATTTGGGACTGATCGAAAGTTCTTGGATCGAGTAGAATTGACCTGTATCCTGTATCTCGTGAATTATTGCATCCATTACCTCATGGTTGTTATTGCCAGCTTTAAACTACAGCTATCAATAAATCTGGATTCTGGGATGATGAATAATAGAAATCATTATAACACAACTATCTAAAAGTTATTAGTTACGCACAGATACTATTTTAACTTACCTATATATGTTTTACACGTCGCGATCAATGAAGTACATATAAATTATATTTATACGTATATAATAATTTGTAATAAGAACAATAGATCCAGTACCATGTATTATATATGGACCCGAATCCATGAGGTACGTACTGATCCATAAAATATTCAAAATTAAAAACAGCTATGAATAATAATTAGACCATTAGTATTAAATTTACCGCATAGTTTCATCAATTAGTACGCAATAGCTAATTTCGCGTCTTTAAATACAAACTGAGTCAAAATTGTAGACAGCAGTACCGGAAAGTTTTATAAGAAATCATGAAAGCATCAACATATCCTGAAGAAACAACCTATTGTCCGGATTGACCAGTGACAACTTACAAGCTATAGTACTCTGGTTCTAATATTGAATCTGTTTAATAGTGTTCAGTTTTAAACTTTTCATGTTCACTACTCAAGTACAGCGTGAAAGACCGATTAAATTTTTGCATTGAAACGCGTAAAATATTGGATCATTTTTATCGTAACAAAAAATCTAATATGTACAATTTGGTAAGATTTAAAATCTTTTGCATATACGCTTTATAAACTTCACGATACCTTTTAGCTTCTAGTATAACTTTCAATAAGCTTAGATATTACTGGTTGTGAATTTTGAAGAAGAACTCACAATTAGAAGACAGGTACTGTGCAGCAGATTATGGACGATTTATGGATCTTGGTGGGATTTCTCAAGAGTTAAGCGGGTACAGCTTGTGTATATCACGATTCACTAGGCCCCAGTTTAACAGCTAAAGCCCTCCAGAGAGATTTTCAAATGATTTACTGATCAATTGACTAGTAACTCTTATAAATTACAACGTAATTTTACAACTGGTATGAGCTTGACGTCTTGGACCTTGAACCAAATTGTTTGAGAGTTTATAAGCTGAATTAGTAGTGTCTTTCGGAGCATTCGTTCATGTCTCAGTTTCTCCTACTCGCCTAACCCTGATGAATGAATGAATGCTAAAGGTCATCTTGATTCGCTAGTATTTGATCTGAATGTACTTCTGTAATAGCCTGTTCCTGTATTCTGCTTAAGATCGCTTATATCAAAAGAATCGAAGTGATCCCCTAAAGTGTACACGAACAGTGAACTTGTCTGAGACATCAACGTAATTTAAGCTCTAGGATTAAGGTCCAAAATGAGACAAAATATAGATCGGATAAGTACTTGGAAACTTTCAATACCAGATATTACAATGAATTAAGCGGCTCAGTACCAAATGATCCAGTTTTGTTCACACCTTACTTTATAACCAAATTAGGTCATGATTTAAAGTTCAATTAACATCTTTATGGGTAGTATATGAGGTTCGATCAACTTCCAAGTTTGGGAAGATTTACATTTTGAAAATGTAGGTACTACAAGGTACAAACAGGTTTAAGAGAGATCTTCAATGTTCACAAAACAGTTCTAAAGTTTAAACACGAGTGTTCACTGTTCACTAATAACTATTCACTGTTCGCCTTAATTAAGATGTCAAATGACTGTAGATTTAAGTTCAAACATGAAGTTAGATAAATTATGTTGAGAATTTGTCGACATATCTATGTACCCATAAATTATTCATAGTGTATAACAACACCTCAGCTTTATATATACTCAAAAGGGTTGAATGATAGGCAAATATTAATATGAATTAGATCTCTATTCGACTCTAGTTAGTACCGATTATAACCAGGGATTAGAAGAGGTACTTTTTGACTGATATCGATTAATCGTATAAAGTGCTTCTAACTCTATGGACTGATATGTAGCTAAGCAATGCAAGGTTAATTATAGCACAGAGTTTAAACATTTTGCATATAGATCACAGAATTGATTCAATTATAGAACAACTTATTCAAATCAATAACATAAACATAGTTGATACCACACGGTGCTTGTAGATACACTTATTAATTAAAAACTTGGGTGATCTTTGCTTTGGGGTAAAAACTATTTAAAATTGCATCAAGTATAAAGGAATTGTCATTTCCAATTTCCGAAATCAAAAGGAAAACTTGTTCCTGAATCCTGGATTTACAAAGAGCATCCACAGAGAGACCGGCCTCCCGTGCGCTGCCTAACCATTGCCTGTTTAAGAGCCCGCAGAAATTCCATTCCACTTTAAATTTTTTTGA